AGATTTAAAGATGCAAGTTTTTTTTCTGTTAAAGAAAAACATTGATGTTAAGGCTTTTACCCATAGTTCTCCATAGGGTAACGGGAGGAGAACGGGAGGTGTCCTCCCGTCACCCTAGGCTCAGTATACCGCGAGCTGCAGCTCGCGGTATACTGAGACGCCACAGTATACCGCGAGCTGCTGCTCGCGGTATACTGAGACGCTGAAGCAGATCCCGACAATTAAGTCTGGATCCGCCCAACTGCGTGAGTGACAGTCAGCGCTGGCGGAGCGGGGAGGGGGGAATCCAGCCCCTCCCCTGTCACGGCAGAGAGCTGTTACAGGATCGAGAGGTGAGCGAACGCTGGTATGTGTTCGCTCACCTCCCGATCTACTGAGCCGACCTGTGACAGTCTCATTGTCACAGGTCGGCTAGAACTATGAGGTGAGTGAAAAGCACTCACCTCATAGTTCTCCTTTTAAGCCTGGTGAGGGAACCGAATGCGATTTTAAAAGGCTTGAATCTTTTGAGTAAGGGGATACTACTGCCAAACTTCTTTCATCAATGGCTAATGTACATCACAACAGAAGGAAAGGTATAACTTGGAGCAACCAGAAGTTGAGAGCTTTACAAGTATTAAAACATGGATAAACTTAACCGCTTGAAGACCGGGGGTTTTAGGCCTTGTCCACACCGAAAGAGGTGCATTCCAGAGCGGTAGCTCCTGGAAGGCACCGCTTTTGGTGTGAGCAAGCCCTTTTAAACCCCTTCCTGGCCAGGTCATTTTTCAGTATTTTGACATTTATTCTGTCATTCAACGCTGTACTGAAATTAATTTTGTACAATTTTTTGGGGACAGATGGAGCTTTCTTTTGGTGATATTTAATCACCACTGCAGGTTTTATTTTTTACTATATAAAGAAAAAAAAAGTACTGAACACTGTTTTCTCTACTTTGTTATGAAACATCACAAATAAATACATTTAGTCCAAAGTGTATTTTGCTACATTTCTTTGGTCATGTTGGGTAAATGAATACCAAACATGTCAAACCTTTAAAATTGTGTGCGCCATTTTGAAATCGCAAAAAAAAACTACCGTAGCCAAAATTGCCCATAGGTGACGCTTTAAAAACTTTTTCTGCTCATCAATTTAGTGTTAACAATGATTGATAGGCCCTAGAATTATTCCTCGCACTCTGATGTTCGTGGTAATACGTGTGAACATGTGTGGCACAATCGTTGTTTTCACACATAGGCACACCCACTGCATGTTTGCATTTTGTTTTTTTGTGGGGTGTTTTTTGTTTTGCACTTTATTTCTTTTACGTAGGGGGATAACAAGCCCCTATGTGATGTCACAGATATTGACTGGTTCTCTTTTTGGAGATATACGGGGTCTATTAGACCCCTAATGTCACCTATGGACCCCTAAAGAAGCTGATGAAGCAGAGATCATGCTTCACCAGCTTCTTCTCCGGCTACAGCAGACGATTAAATGACACCCTGAAACCAGAAGTTATGTAATACACATCGTTTTCCCTTTCAGTAATTGGAGGGGGGATTTGCTGCTGAAAGTGTGCTGATCTCCCTCCGGTCTAAGTGCAGAGATCTGCCAGCACAGGGTACAGTGGAGCCCAGGATAGCCGGCAGTGGAGGGTGTTCCCCAGCACTGTACAAGCAATTGGGCGGCTCTGTAGCCGCCCAAACACTTGTATGTAAGAGCCATTGCGGACCTTTTCAATGTTCAGAGTTTACGATGCATTGCATTTCAAGTAGCCCACTCATTTGAATGAGCTGCCCAACACACCACCACAGATCAAAAATCGTACTTGCTACATTTCTGGTAGTGCAGTAGTGGGCATTACCACAATGCAGTAGTGTGAATGGGCCTGGAAGGGAACTCATGATTTTTCAGGGTATGGAGAAGCATGTAACTTAATTTGCATTCCTCTCATTTGACATTGCTGAGGTTTAGCGATTTAGCTCAACGCTGTTATGATAGAGTGAAGAGAATCAAGTTAGAGTGACCTTACACATGGCTTCCTTTCCTTGCTTCTTGAAGCTGATCAAGTGGCAGTGAGTGAGGGAAAGGCAAGTGTGCTGTTGGGGAGGAGGCCATTAAAAGTAACTTGTTGCTTTGCCCTTCATTGGCAGTGCACAAGTTTGCTTTAAAGTGCATCTAAATCTGAAAGCAAAAATCTACTACCGTATATACTCGAGTATAAGCCGTCCCGAATATAAGCCGAGGTACCTAATTTTAGCCAAAAAAACTGGGAAAAAGTATTGACCCGAATATAAGCCGAGGGTGGGTCATCTGGCAGTCTCCGGCCACCTAAATTAGGACCCGGAGACTGCCAGATGACCCCGCTCGGAGCGCCGCACACCGAGCAGCAGTGACGCTCGGCGAGGTAAGTAAGAAGACGCGCTGGCGCTGACTCGAGTATAAGCCGAGGGGGGCACTTTTCACCCAAAAAAATGGGCTGAAAATCTCGGCTTATACTCGAGTATATACGGTATATTGCAATGTACCAGTCTTTACATGATTGCAATGTACTAGTCTTTACATGTGGTGACTGCATTAGTTTTCTTCTTTTCAGGCTGTCTTCCTATTTTTACCCAGTGATGCTGCTTTTAACACATTTCCTATCCTAGTATAACAACATTTACTCTCCTACAGTAACAGGACAGGACTACTGGAAAGGTCACCTGCCTTTTTGTCTATGGCATAGATGGGCAGAATCCTGTAGTCCTCAGAACAATAAATTGATAACACAGAAAGTTTTCAGCTGAAGATTTTTCTGGCAAGCTCAGCAAGTATTTTTTTTGTACTTAAAACAGCTAAAACAATAACGGCCTAGGTACACAATTATAGCATCCGTTAGGTGATCTGGAGCCTGGTTGGGGGGGTGCCCAGCACAGTGGGAGGTTTTTGGCTCTCCTGGAACCTCGGGGGAGACTATATTGTAAGGGATGAAATGGTGGCGAGAGCATTGAGAGACCTCCATTTGAAATCTGCATTGTTTCACAGCAATGATTGCCGGATTTCTGGTACTGTGTATATTTCTGGGAAGAGCTTAATAAATTGGCTGTAATGGTCCACACATCAAGGAGCGGGTGGGGGGTAGATTGGTTGTAATTAGAAATTTTTATTAAAATACCTACATGTGCCTGGGGGTGGGGGAGGGTTATGGTCAGAGAGTTGAAATTAATGGACCTTGCATGGTCCTGCATGTATGTTGGCATACGTTATGCCGTAATGTATACACAGTTGTGCATGGATGGGGTGCTATGTTGGTGCCCGAATGTTATTGTTGTGTAATAACTTAATATGCAAAATCAATAAAAAGATTTTTCAAAAAAAACAACAGCTAAAACAAAATGCTTTCAAGGGAGAAAATAAGAGAAGTCCATTGTTAGGGTTTACATACCATTTTTAATTTCTATGGGCAACCTAGTATCTGCATTTCCTTAAAGTCTGATGGTACAAGTAAAAATACAACGCAGAAAGCGCTCTCTAGACAGATTGGCAAAATAACCGTATGTAATCTCTTTGCACTTTGTCCTGTTTTTCTGATACATTTTCTTCCAAATATAAAAGCTCATTGTTTTTATCTTCTTCCAGTCAATGTATGAGCCAGGAAAGCGTCACTGGCTGAAGGTGAAAAAGGATTACTTGAATGAAGGTGCTATGGCGGACACTGCTGATCTTGCAGTTTTGGGAGCATTTTATGGAAAAGGAGCAAATGGTAAAAGATCCCAGACGTTTGTCTAGTACCTATATTATATTATTACAAAATATTCCTTGGTTTCTATATACCGATATTGTTCTTTTTCCAGGTGGTATGATGTCTATATTCCTTATGGGATGTTATGACACAGAGAGCGGCAAGTGGTGCACAGTGACAAAATGCTCAGGTGGTTATGATGATGCAACGCTTGCCCGTTTACAAAAGGAGCTGGAAATGGTCAAGATCAGCAAGGTTAGATTCTGGAATATAAAGAGATCACTTTGCCTAACTGTGCTTTATTAAAGAAAGGCTCATTTCACCCAGCACTGAATCGGCTTATATTCGAGTCAATACTTTTTCCCAGTTTTTTTTGGTAAAATTAGGTGCCTCGGCTTATATTCGGGACGGCTTATACTCGAGTATATACGGTACTATGCAACCTGAGATTTAACTCTTGAGTTTAGTGTGTCACTTTAACTTTTTTTTTAGTACAATAAGGATGAGGATTTCCCCAAACTCCCACTGCTCACTACCCTCATAGCGCTTGTGAGGATAGTGCGCGGTGGGAGTTTGGGGAAATCCTGACACTAAACTCAGGAGTTAAAGCTTTAAAATGCATTCAAGTACCTTTTAGCTATTAACAAAAATGTATCTTATTTGTGTATCACTCAGCTGTAGATCCTCAAACCATCTCTGAATGCATGCTGACATCGTCCTTCCTTCTGGAGGGGGGCTACTTTTTTTCTCCATGATCACTGTGTGTATTTGTAAAGCAAACTTCAAAAACAGGATGTCTTGCTGCACTCCTAACCAGAATAACCCCAAGCTGGGTGGGTGCTTGTAGTGACCACGGGAGGCACCGTGTGAATCACAGAATAAAGGAATAATGTCACCAGCACACCATTTTTTTGTTAGTCAATGATCCATTTTAATGGCACATTGCCATCCAATACACAAGCGCTTTCGGGGCCGCCGTGGGTCCCCTTCATCGTGGGTCCCCGCCGAAAGCGCTTGTGTATTGGATGGCAATGTGCCATTAAAATGGATCATTGACTAACAAAAAACTGGTGTGCTGGTGACATTATTCCTTTATTTGTAAAGCAGACACCACTCCAAGCTCACTCCCGTGATGGACTACAATCTCACTTTTCATTTACTAATTTGTATTGAGATTGTAGTCCATCACGGGAGTGAGCTTGGAGCGGTGGCTACTTTAAAACACACACACAGGGACCATGGGGAACAAAAGTAGCCACCCTCCAGAAGGAAGGACAGTGTCAGCATTCAGAGATGATTTGAGGATCTACAGCCGAGTAATACGCAAATAAGATACCATTTTGTTAGTAGTTAAGGTACTTCAATGCATTTTAAAGATTTAACTCCTGAGTTTAGTGTGCAAGATTTTATTGCATAGATACAGATTTTATATGCTATGGTGGGATTCAGAAAATCAAGAATTAATTTTTAAGGGCTTAGTGTGCATCTCAACTTGCATGTGAAATATATAGAATATGAATAAAAATCATAGCAAACTCAGAATGGGAGTGGGAACAGGTGAGTAGAATGTGTACAAACATTTTTTTCCATGCCATCAGTCTACAGCTATTTTATTAGACTTGAGACTTGTGGGACCTACAGGTGGCACATTCAATCTCTCTGGGGTGCAATACTGAAGCGGAGCTCTTGTGTTGCAGGAGTAGCGTGCATTGGGTCTTTGAAGAAACTGCATCTACTTTTCATTTTACAAATTAGCTAGTTTTTATTTATTTATTTTTTCTTTCATCCTGTTTCTCCAGGACCCATCTAAAATCCCTTCATGGCTGAAAATCAACAAGAACTATTACCCGGACTTCATAATACGGGATCCTGAGGTAATATTCGCTTATTTTACCCTTAAATGGAAAAGTATTAGTGAAGAGAAAACTTAGTTTTGAGAGAGAGAATATTCCTCACAATGGAAAGATATCCTTGAACATCCTGTTCTACTGGACCGGAAGTGAAGACAAATCTCCCCAATAAGACACAAATGGCTAAAAAAAAAAAAAAAACGGACAGTAGTTTTAACTCTCCCCTGCTCCAATCCAAAATGGAGAGGGGAAAATAAAGTTGTTTTGGCTTTAGATATAGAAGAAGTCTCACCTTGTATTATTTTTCACAGCTCAGTCACCTGTCACTGCGTATGTTGCTTTTTATCTCATGCTTCTGTGTGATGGAGCGGAGATCCAGACTTTATCCATTTATTCCTTTTCATTCCTGACCAGGCACTCTTCATTGACAGTTCTTATCTCGGTGTTTCCTGACCTTTACAGACACAAAGGTCACAGGAATGCAGAGGGAGAGCTCACATTCTCACAGAAAACAGTGCCATCATAATTTTATTTATTACAGATATTTATATAGTGCCAACAATGTATGCAGTGCTTTACATAGAGCACATTCATATCAGTCCCTGCCCTTAAGGAGCTTACAATCTAAAGTCCCTATCTCACATGCATGCATACGAGGGCCAGTTAACCTCACAGCATGTCTTTTGGAGTGTGGGACAAAACGGGAGTAGCCAGAGGAAACCCATGCAAGCTCCTTGTACATAATGTCCTGACTGGGATTTGAACTGGGTACCTCCAGTGCAGCAAAGCAGAAGTGCTAACCAGTACTCAGACCCACTCAGCAGTCCTTCTGAGAAAACACTGACTTGGATTTATCAGTGCCTTAATATCCTGAGCAGGGAAGAATCTCCAATGAAGTGTGCTAAAGTCCTTGGGAATTTGTGTATCTAATCTGGAGGGTTTTTGTTTTTAACCAAATCAACTCCTGTATGATTTCTTTATACTACCCGCCCCTACCCACCCTCTGGCCAGCATCTGAACATTAAATTAAGATTAACCATAAGAAAGGATTGGAAAAAGGGGTCCCATGACCATCCATGCTTCATTTTATCCAGCTATGCACTGGCTGGTGGGAGGAGTCCGGTGAAATCACTACAGTAACGCCAACAGCAACATCGATTTCACACTTTGCAAACTTCCCACCATGCACAGCAGACAACACTGATCTGAGCAATATACCAACTACTGCATGGATTTTCTGAGGCCCAAGATTCAGTGTGCATGGGGGTTTGGGGGCTTTGGAACTCGCTCCTTTCACAACCAGGTGAAACTGGCTCTATGTAAGCCCAGGTGTGTATGTTCTTGATGGTCAGTGGGTCTTCGGGGAGGCTGCACACCACACAGAGAGAAATTGTACTACTGCAATGCTCTTCAATGGAAAGTTGGAGACACGGTGAGGGGTGGAATAAAAGAGAAGCAGTTTATCCAGCATCAGAGGCAAAAGCAGACGGGACATAAGTAGATGAGACTGAAGTTCTGCTTTAAATGCTTATGGGTATACCTGTGTTTTGATTGCTCGTGTATAAGCATGTGCATTCAGATGCATTTCAAACATACTAAAACATATACATTTCATTCTAAATGTATGTGTTCAAGAAGGCTTCTGATCATCAGGCTTTGAGAATGTTTCCAGTTAATACCATTTACTGTGTAATACTAATGAAGAATGTAATTTAAAGCAAATGCAACGTGTGTTCAGTATGTTATCCAGCTGCCGATAACCAGTTATTCCTTGTCATTTGTTCACAGAATGCCCCTATCTGGGAGATTACAGGAGCAGAGTTCTCCAAGGCAGAGGCCCACACAGCTGGTGGGATTTCTATACGTTTCCCGCGTTGCACCCGCTTCCGAGATGACAAAGATTGGAAAACAGCCACCACTTTACAGCAGCTAAAGGTGAGAGGAATCCTTGTAAAGGATCATATGGCGTGCATATTAAAATTTGAATGGGGCTTGTACATTGCAATGGCATCTGACACAGTAGACCGTGGATGTCAGAACTTCCTGTACAGCAGCCAAAACTATGCCCTGGCTTCTTGAGCATAAAATCTTAAATTTAGATTACATTTAAAGTAAATCTTTAACAGGCTTGACCTATTCCAATGGAACGTATTATGGAAAATGCATATAGCAGAGCTGCTCGTTGATGAAAACTGCATGACAACAGATAAGTTCATCCATAGGAATCAGAAGCTGAAGTTCTATTTAAATTTACCCGAGTTTATAAGTGTGGCTTGTCACCTCCCGCTTCACAATGTGACTTTATTGGTCGTTAGGCTGTCCATCGGATTCGCGGATCGGCAGCGCAGCTTGGGAGGAGAGGAAAGGGCAGAGCTCTGCTTTTACTGGAAAAGTCAAGAATTGCTTATATTTTCAGCCGGTTCTCTGAAACTACTGGCTGCAGAGTATGGACTCCATCAACCTAAAGTGGGGTTTTAGTAAAAAATGCAGGGATTAAGCCCTGGCTGTGTCCACATGCGGGGATTAAGCCCTGGCTGTGTCCACATGCGGGGATTAAGCCCTGGCTGTGTCCACATGCGGGGATTAAGCCCTGGCTGTGTCCACATGCGGGGATTAAGCCCTGGCTGTGTCCACATGCAGCTATAAAGCCCTGGCTGTGTCCACATGCGGGGATTAAGCCCTGGCTGTGTCCACATGCGGGATTAAGCCCTGGCTGTGTCCACATGCACGTAAAAAGCCCTGGCTGTGTCCACATGCAGTTATAAAGCCCTGGCTGTGTCCACATGCAGGTAAAAAGCCCTGGCTGTGTCCACATGCAGTTATAAAGCCCTGGCTGTGTCCACATGCAGGTAAAAAGCCCTGGCTGTGTCCACATGCAGTTATAAAGCCCTGGCTGTGTCCACATGCAGTTATAAAGCCCTGGCTGTATCCACATGCAGCTATAAAGCCCTGGCTGTGTCCACATGCAGTTATAAAGCCCTGGCTGTATCCACATGCAGCTATAAAGCCCTGGCTGTGTCCCTCCTACTGGTTTTGCCAGCCAGTTGTTTTCACTCTTATTTCAGCTATGTGCTTATTGTCTTTTTCCCTTTTTCAGGAGCTATATCAGATCTCAAAAGAGAAGTGTGATTTCACTGTTACGGCCACGTCATCTCAGGATGAGGAAGGCTCTTCTGAGAGCAGCAGTCGGGACAATGAAGCAAACTCTAGACCACCAACACCTAGTGGCTCTGTGAAGAAACCAAAAAGCTCAAGTTCTAAATCACCTGGCAAAGATAAAAGAAATGACAGTAAGCAACCTTCCCTATTCCACCGACGGGTGTGCTAGTTATTTAAGAACTAATAAAGACTTGCTTAGGATAGAATTGTAAAAAAACATTTATTGTGTGTAATATACTGAGTTACTTGCAGCAGTATTTAGAAAAGGGGAGCAGCTTTGTTTCTTGGAGTGGTTCAGTCATTTGCATATTCCATTGGTTTACAGCTGACCTGCAGTTATTTGCAGCTACCAGAAGGGGGCAGAGCGTTATTATTTACTTTTCATTGTGCACGATTTAGGTGGCAAACTTTCCCAACCAAAGAAAAGCGATGAACCAGCTAAAGCAGAGAAGAGGAAAATCGTATCACCAGTCTCTGTTGATAGTAAAAAGGTAAGTGGTTGTGTGTGGTTTTTTTTATTTTAAGAATGAGCACAGCATGTGTTTACAGGGCTCCTTTTTAGTTTGATTATTAGTCAATATTCTTGTGCTTATTTTCCCCCCAGGTAAAACTCTCCAGTGCAAGTAATGGCAACGGGCACAATGTGGCACAACCGTCAGCCACAGCCAAAGTAAGTATATGTCAGATATTTCCTGACTACTTGTCTCTCCCTGTTTTATTTCACAGTACAAGCAGAAGCTTCAGCACTGCGTGTGCAGCAATGCAAAATTACTAGTCATTAGACAGACAGACACCAAACCATATGACTAGCAGAAGCCAGTTTAATAAATAATTTTTTATATATATATATATATATATAGTATACAGTATACTGCATGTATATGTGTGTATACATTTTTTATTTTTTTCTCTCAATTTTTTTTAATCTACATGGTTGAGTAGAATATCAGATGTGTTTCCAGTAATTTAAAGGGGCTGTAGGCATTTGTAATGACATTGATCTCTGACAGCTTCATGTAACACGTCTTCAGTCTCCTGCATCGTGTCGTCAATCTCAAACCTGTAGTATGTCCACAATTTCTGACCGTTGCCTGTAGCCTTACTTATACTGAATCTTGTATATGGAAAATATGTATGAGCCTTTGTCAGTTCTAGGGGCATGACTTGAGGAAACAATTGGGTAAGTTGACTGCCATTGCTCTAAATTAATCTTTAACCTTTTGTGTTTGCAGCACATTTTATGTTTTTTCTTTATAAGCTCTTTGTTTGCTTACAAGCCTCAGTTTAGTTGGTTCTGCTTATAGGACTTGTTAAAAAAAAACTGAAGTCTTCATTAGGTGGCTTTACAAGGTCTCAAGCTGTGTCTGTAATTTCTTTTGTAGACCCTTCTGGATATATTCACAGGAGTGAGGCTTTATCTGCCTGCTTCTCTTGAAGAATTTTCAAAATTGCGCCGCTACTTCATTGCTTATGACGGTGATCTCGTCCCAGAATTTGACGCTCCTTCTGCCACACATGTGATGGGGGATATTCCTGAATGTGCTGAGGATGCCAAGCATGTGACACCACGTTGGATATGGGAATGCATTAGACGCAGAAGGCTAGTAGCACCTTGCTGATGGCTCTGGGCACACACAGTTACTGACGAGAAGTGGGCTCGTTTACATCAGTGATATCATGTTTACAGAACTGATTTAACAAGTACTCATGAATGCCAGAGTCATGGTTACAGACCTGATTATAAATATTGCTAGCTAATGTCTTTTTATGATCACAATTAGTACTCTAGTTTCATGGAGACTTTCCTGAAGGTACATAATCTGATAATAATGTCTGTCCTAAAGGCTCCCTCAGCCGTCTTTCCTTTTGGTTTACCCAGATTGCTTGGGTAGAAGTATATACTATGTGCCATTGTTGGATCCTTGCAGCATTGTTCTGCACTTGTAAATCTGTTTGGTCAATTAAAAACACAATTTGTCAGTCTAGAATTTGAATTGTGGACTGGAGAAAAATATTTTTTTTTTTAAGCTGCACACTATTGCTTTTACATGTTTGGATATAATTACATTTTTATACCTGCATTGAAAATCTGCCAAGTGAACTACTTTGTGTGTGTGTGTACAGTGGACAACTACTAGCTAATAATGGCCATCTGGACCAGCGTTGTCCAGTTCTTCAGGAAGGGGCTCGAGATCCTATTTTACATTGATGTTCTTTTGCAGAGACCTGTGGATGTATTAAAAACTTGAAACACAGAGAAACTTTATCTTGTAGATCATGCATTGTTTATTTTATAGTCATTCATCAGATCTTAATTAGTCAATTCCACCAAATGTTAGCAACTGCAATACCATATTGGGATCGTCCTGTTGAATTTTCTGTAATGGATATTTAAAAGAGAACTATGAGATGAGTGATTTCCACTCACCTCATAGTTCTAGCCGACCTGTGACAATGAGACTGTCACAGGTCGGCTCAGTAGATCGGGAGGTGAGCGAACACATACCGGCGTTCGCTCACCTCTCGATCCTGTCACGGCTCTCTGCCGTGACAGGGGGAGGGGCTGGATTCCCCCCTCCCCGCTCCGATCTGCCAGCGCTGACTGGCGAAATGGACGGGAAGGGGGCGGGTACAGCTGGCTCTGCCTCTAGATAGGCAAAGCCAGCTGTCACTCACGCAGCTGGGCGGATCCCGTCATCTAGGTCGGGATCCGCTCCCGCTGCGGCATCTCAGTATACCGCGAGCTGTAGCTCGCGGTATACTGAGCTTGGGGTAACGGGAGGACGCTAGTTTGTGTCCTCCCGTTACCCTAAGGAGAACTATGGGGAAAAACACTGACCCCATAGTTCTCCTTTTTAGCGTCTTGCCTATTATATACTTCTTAGGCATTTGTGGTGTGTAAATTAACTAGGCCTGAAAATGTGACTGTATTTTAGCTCAGTGTGTTCATTTCCACACTGTCTGCAGGTGGCATTTATTATTATTTGATCTGTCATGTGTCTACAGGTTATTGTAGGTTGTTTAGAAAGTTGTAATCATGAAGACAATGGCTGCTCAGTCTCCTCATTGAACTGAGGAATGCACCTTATCCAGTACATGTATTGCTGCTGAAAGCTTCATGTATCCATTTAATTAGAAAACGAGAGGCTCATGTTACTGGCGTAGTATCTGTTCTAAGCAACATCCAGAAGTCATGGATTGATTTGCTCATTTCTGTAAAGTACTATAAAGGTGGATATTTTGCATTTCTCCCCTCAAGTGCAATAATTGCCATAAACTGATTATGAAAAAAAAAAAATATAACCTCTTAAGGGCAGATTCACACCATTTTCTGGACCGATCTGAAACGCACTGCTTTGCCGCGTTCCCTTTTAGGTCTTGCTGGAGGGACCTCTGCAAGACCTACAGGTAGCCAGGACAAGAGCAGCACAATGCTTGCACATAAGAGACATGAACTTACCACAGTTGTTCTTTTCAGAGCTGCTGAAATGACCATAGCCAGGGACAACCTGGGGATCAATGCCTCTCCACTTGTCCATCCTCCTATCATTGTTCTTATATTGCCCATGCTTCGGATCATACAGCTCTGGGCAGCCTTCCACAAGTTCTACAAAGAAGTCAGTGTCCACTTCAGCCATCGTGGTTCCTATCTTCACAGATCTCTCTCTCCGCAGAAGCAGGAAGTCCAGGGGTGATGAGATCATCCAAACCAACCAAAAAAAAGTTTTTTTTGTCCTCATTGTGTTCCAGTGCATTTTTGATGTGTTTGTGCGTGTTCCAGACCAGACAAAATGTGACACGCAGTATTTTTCTGGTCTGGAACTGACTGCAATGGTGTGAACTGAGGCCGAGAACAGCATAGGAAACATTGGGGTGCATTTTAGGTCCAGAAACGGTCTGGAGGTGGTGTGAATGGGCCGTAAGGGCTGTGGACTTGGTTTATCATTCTACACTCTTTAGCAGCTAGATGGCTTTCCATAAATAGTAGGCTCCAGTAACCCCAGTAAAAGCAACCCTTCATTTGTGCAGGAAAACCGGTCTACCTGCTTTGGAAATGTGATGTTCAGTTAAGCTTTTACTATACAGGTTCTTAAACCTGTCCACATGTCTCACCCATAGAAAAGGCTTTGTGGGTTGCCAGGCACTGGCTTTACCTTTTAGTGGTTTTTGTTTTTGCTCGTGCAGAGCTGCAAAAATATCTACTGTTGCAATCTAAATATGTAAAGTGGGTTTGCTGTGTCGTGATTTTATTTCAAACCTTGAAGTAGAACAAAAGGCTTTCTATGGGTATAACCCTTTCACTGCCAGCAACATATGCCTTAGGTCACTGGCAGCAGACCCCTCTAAACAGACTCCTGTGGGCTATAGCTGCCAAGAATCTATTCAGCTGTGTAAAGCAGACTGTCTGCTTTACACGGGACAGGGTTCTGGTGGCTAAGGTGCAGCCCGATTGGCTCAGGGGCCAGTGAAGCGTGTACTTTCCCCCACCCCAGCACAATTTGCACTTGAATGGCTACTTTGCAGTGAAAATCTAATAGACCCCTAATGTCACTTTACAGAGTACCTGTTCACCACCTAATATGCTATCACATAGAGGGCTTGCAAGCCCCCCTATGTGATGGCAATGAAAAATAAAAGTAAAGGACCTCCGCACACGTGCATAGTAACAAACACACATGCGCCAGCGTGAGAGCGATAGTTCTATGGCTAATAGTCGCAGTTCATTCTAAACAGATGACCTGTTTGGGCTTTTAAAACGTCGCCTATGGACAATTTGGGATACCGTATTTTGTCAGTTTCCCAATTTTAAAGCTTGGCATGTTGAGTATCTATTTACTCAGCATAACCTCCTCTTTTATATTTTACCACAAAATGTGCTTGTTCAGGCACTTCCTGTTATGAGCTGACATTTCTGTCTGTGCCTGCCTCCCAGTTGCTGTCTTGCATTGTCACCCTGTCACAAGTACTTCCCAAACAAATGAAGCAGACATTGTCCACTGTTAGCACTAACAAGGAAACCCATCCTGTGAAATGCCATGCAACCATTGCTGCTGAAGTGCATGCATGTAGAGAGGGAGTGGCTGCAGCAGATGAGCACCACTGAGATGCCACAAAGGATGATATACAAATAAACATTGCACAAGCCTAATTATTAGAGGATACCCATAGACTCAGAACCACAGTTTTGATCCAGTTGGCCTGCGCTTCATTGAACCCTATGTTAGGTGACGGCAGCTTTGTTCCCAATTTGCCCCTAATGTGCACTTTGATTGCAGGGAGGTGGGGTTCTTCACTATGAGCTTGCCACTGGCAACTTACATACTTCTCAAGATAAATATAAATACATGTGTTTTCTATATATTTCATATATGGTGTTCAGGACTAATAAAGATTTAAAATGTTCTATAAACATATATTTGTAGAAAGAGCCAGGCACTTACACATTCAGGTGACTATAACTGTATTAGGCGTGATGACTCAGCAGAGCCTTAGATCACTGGAATGGTGTGGCAGAGAGGCTGTGGGGACCAGTCTAGCAGCCAGGCAGGGGGTTCAGGTGAGTATATCTATCTTATTATAGACCCAAGATGAAAATGAGCACTTAATCCTTGCAGTGCAGGGGTAGCCCCACTGCAAGGGTTAATTGTATTTGTTTGGAGTTCTTCTTTAATAAGTAGCATTTATGGATAATCGGTTTTGTTTTTTCCAAATCTGGTGTTTCAGACATACAGCTCCCCTTTCTAAGTCAAAAAGGCTTCAGATGTTTGTTGGTTTATACTGTCTGTCACCTACACGAAAAAGGACACTGGAAAAGTGTAGGTCCGCCCAAGATAACACATCTCACTACCAGCCTGTCTGGTTTTTTGTTTTTCCTAGTGTCCTAGAAGGATGGATGTCTTTTCTTCAGTTCTGCTGTTGTAGAGACTGACATTTATATTCTTCCCCTGAAGGACATCAATTCTACTAGAGTTGGGAGATGTTGCTACCTACAGGAGGCTTACACACTGGTATACTGTTTGCACCTATTAGAGACCTTCATCCCTTTTATTCTCACCCACAGATTGTTTTTTCTTGCAGTAGCCATCAGCTTTTTGAGGCGAGTGTCTGAACTGGCAGCTTTATCTTGCAATTAACTCTTTTTGGTCTTGCATAGAGACAAAGTGGTGTTGAGGGCCAGGATTTCCTTCCTGCATAAGGTAGTGTGTATGTTCTACAACAAGCTTGTATTCATATCTGTATCTATAGGCATAGTTCCTAACAGAGGCAGAAATATATATTTTTTTTAGAACAGTTCTTGCCACCCTGCAAACCTAATGCAAGTACAGAGCAGGTGATTCTAAGCTGTTGTCTTTGATCATTATGTCACACTACGGCTAGATAGGTGCATGAGGGCTGCTTTTAAATCTTAAGAATATGTAAATAGTTAAATGCTCAGTCTTGGCAGAGGTGCCCTTCAAGACATGCTACAATATCTAATTTAACCCCTTTGTGACGACATACAGTGTACATTGCCTTGCAAGCCCCCCTATGTGATAGCAGTCCCAAAAAAACAAACAGTTTCAAATTAAAATGAAAAAAATGTAAAGTCCCCCACGCAACGCCACGTAAACACGCATCGGGTGCGCCTACGTATGAAAACGATGTTGGGTATCGCCGCGCACGCCGGAGTGAGAGCAATAATTCTAGGGCCAGTATTTTGGGGCATCTCTAAATTGATGACCTGTGGGGGCTTTTAAAGCATCTTTTATGGACTTTTTGGGGTACTGCAGTTTTTCGGCGTTTCACAGACGCACGCAATTTGTAAACTGGGCATGTTGGGTATCGTTTTACTCATTGTAACCTCATCTTTTATATTTCATTTAAAAAATTGGTGTTGTGTTTTGGGGTTTAATAAGGAGTTGCGCTAATATTGCGCAACATGAAAATTTGCAACTACCACCATTATATTGTATAGGGTCTTGGCATTCAGAAAACATATGCTGTGTGTGGGGGTTAGAAGTCATTTTCAGGCCTAAAATGTGGAATATAACATGGGTGGGGAAAAAAAGGCCTCAGTCATGAAGGGGTTAATAACGTTAAGGGGGGGAGGAAGAAAAAAAAAAAAAAAAACTTACCTTGGGTGCCATAGTAGACCATCAGTGCTCATTTTTAAAATTGGGAAAAACATTGGGTTAGGCCTATTTTCAAAGAAACGTGGGCCAAGGCATAGGTTATGAACTTTACCATTAAAAAAAGGACTTGCTGCAAGCAAAGAAAACAAATAATCCTGAAGTTTAAAGAAATGTAGTTTTTGTTTTTTTATTTAAACTTTAATCAAGTCCCAAACAAGACAGAAAATACAATTCCTGTAAATAAAAATCACTTTAAGACAAAATAAAGCTGAATTATGTCATATAAAAAGTCCCAAAGCACCTTAAATAGAACTATCTGATCAGTAATATGCTTAAAGCATTAACAACCACAGGCACAAAGTCCACAGGGTGCTGTGTATTGGGATCAGCACCCGTATGTCCAGTTGAAAGGTATAGCCCTTAAAATGAGAATGATACACAGATAAGCAGCTGGGAACATATAAGTGACTGGCACATTTATGTTTGCGACTCTACCACTTATACCTAGAAACAACATGGGTATTATTCATTAAAAAAAAAAAAAAGGGATAAGCTTGGCCTAATTCAAACAAAAAATATCAGCTTTTTCTTGGCTGCATCTTATTGATAACAGCGAATGCTAAATGGGTGCTTTGTTTGTGGTGGGGTGTGTGTGGTGTTGTGTGGGGGGGGGGGGGGGGGGGGAATTGGAAGGGGGGGGTGTCCCCTATATTTCAGGTGCGATTAGGGATTCCTGCGTCACAAACTTGTGTTTTCCTGCACAGGAATCCCTAATTTGGCGTTTACATGCATCAACTGTCACCCATTCAAGTTAATGATCAGTTGACAGCCGCTGCATGTACACGCCTGCATACCGCATGTGATATGATTACATGCAGTTATAACAATCACTCTCCCTGGATAAACAATTGTGTATCCAGGGAGAGTGATTGATTCCTAACTGCATGTAATCCTTTCACATGATTACATGCGGTGTGCAGGAGTTTACATGCAGCAGCGTTAACCAAACGCCTATTCATTTGGTCATATAATCTTGGCTAAGAGGGGACAATCAGATACTCTAAACTCTGATCCTCTCTTGCAGCACAGTTCACACGACTTTGATGATGCCTAGGCATTTGGTCATTTCACTAGCATGTTTTCACAGAAAATACAGTATTTCTGTCTTTCTATTCATCCCAGCAGGCCTAGTGTCATACCTTCCTTGAAAGACAGATGAGGGCTGCCTTCTGAGGATGCTAGTTATCCAGCTATTACATTGACCAACTGGCTTTATTAAGTTTTGAAACACTGACATGGACCATGTTTTGCATAGAGTCAGAGTAATATCATCACACATCTTTATTTGCAAGTTTGTTTAAGAAATTAAAGCAAAAATGACTGCCAGTAAAAAGCAATGGCAGCTTTCATGTCACTTTCTGGAAGGGTTTTTAAGTTAATGTCTTAATATAAGTCCACTTTGACGAAATACAGCCACTTTTGACCTGTTGAGGTAAGGTGACAGTGTCTGCACAGAGCCCACCCTCCCAAGGAGGTATACTCATCCAGCTATGCCCCTTTGTTGCCTCTCCATATGACCAGAGCCCTCATTATGGAAATTGAGCTTTTGTGTATAGGGGACCAAGTGACAGTGTTTGGGCCTGAACAGCCAGCCTACCTGCACAAAATCTTGTATGTGGATCTGACAAAGCTCTGATGCCAAACACTTAAGCAGACGGGGGCAAGAGAGCGCAGCGGGGTAAGCATAAATGCCTGGGAGTGGACCCTTTTGCAGACGCTGCCACTTTGCTGTAAATGGGCAAAGTGACGGTTGTCACTTTAAGATCTGTATTTAGCAGTCCCAGAAGGATGAATACGCTGGAAGGTGATTTAAGGGCTTCATGAAAGCTGCTGAAAGCTTGTTATATACTTTGTAAATACTTACTGAACCTGACACTTCACAATAGGTTTTTATAGGCTAAGATTACACAATAACACTGTATGAGGCCCAACACATTTGGAAACACAGAATGCAAATAATTACTTGTGCTACTTTTTCATCTGCTTCTGGATACTTTAATACATGCTTGTGAGCCCTTAAAATACCAAATACTTCCCCATCATACTATACACTACAGTGCAAATCAAAAGTAAAAAGGAAGTTATAAAAAATTAAGTCTCAATTATACCGCCACTAATGAATAAAGATGCTCTAAAGAGCAACAGATCGCACTTAGCTTTGGTACGTATTACCTCATATTTTTGCTTTATTCTTCTCCTTCTCATGAAAAAGCACTAGTTCTTTGTTCTCCCTGTGAACATTTTTTTATAAATAACCTTGCAAGTCTTCAAAAGTAAACCTTTTTGATTTGAAATCAAAAAAGTCAGTTAAGGCAATGTTGAAAGGCACAATAGCATTAAAACAGAAGTCAGTGTTCTTGTACCACGGTTGTAGGTTGTCAAACACGGAGAGACCTCTGTAGGGGTTCTTTATCCATAAAACTTTATGATGGAATGCCACGAAATTAAACTGTGAATAGAGATGTTTCCTCACCATAATGTAGGAGGACCAAGAGTAGTTGTAGGTGCAACACAGTCCTGGGTGGCTGTACCAGTTCACAAAGAAGATATAATCAACCATGCAGATCCTGAAACTAGGTCATGAGCGGAACACATGAACTGCCCTCACTACATATTGTCGGCAGATGGGACATTCACTCATGCGCTTGCCACACTTTGTGCAGGTTACCATGTGGCCGCACTCCAACAACACACAGTCAATGGGGGAATCCATGCAGACCTTGCACAAGTGTTCATCAATTGCAGTACTGGGTTTACCTGTAAGACATAAAAGATACAGCACAAAATGTATGCAAAGTTTTCTATGGTTCTACTAATAGTATTCACAGTCATTCATTTAACAGTATAATGCTAGCAACCAATTCTATATCAATGTTCAGCGAGTCCTGTTGTCCAAACCTACAGTTACTTTATGATGGTTACTATAGGTTACTTGCTCTGGCATTTTAAAGTGAATGCAGTTTGTTTTTTTTTAGCTTTGGATTGCTGAGGAAAGTTAAGTATTTCAATTTTTTGCAGCCAAATAGGGATAACACAAAAACATACTTTTCTCAATTTTGACTGCAAAAGTGGAAAGACAATTTAAAATCCATCAGTTTTTTTGCCCCCATTAGCGAGTTCTCCCTTCCTGTCCTGAAGATGCTTTGAGAAATCTCAAAGTAAGATTATTCCCCTTTCAGACATTTGTCAACAAAACAAGACTCTGTTGGAAAATGTACTCGCCTTGTGTGCTATTGTCAAATAATAACTTGGATTTCTCATTACTTGCGGTCTCAAAGACAATGGTCACCAAAACAAATGGAGAGGGTAATTCTCCTCAAACAAGGATGCAGTATGAATATTAACATTCCAGAGAGTATGATGAGTCCATTAAGGGACACAAGAAATCTTTCACCTTAAGGATTATCCAAAAGCAGTCCCAACTGATGGGTGGGCAAAAGCAAACAAATGTTAACAGGTACACAAAAAAATAGTAAGTAGGGGCTGTCTGCAGCTTAAAGTGCCCCCTGAAGGAGGTTTCGCCCAAAGATAGAATTAGGGGAGGCCAAAACATCCACATGGTAGAACTTCGAGACCATAGGAACTGAAGACCAAATGGCAGACTTAAAAAATCTGGGAAACAATTGCCTGAAGCCAAAAAGCCTGTCACTCACACATCTAGTAAAGTGAGCCTCAACAGTAAAAGAGGGAAACTTGATCCTTGAGACCATAAGCTTGAAGAAGGCTGGTTCCTTTCAATGGCCATCGAGAATGACAAAAAGTGAATCGGTATACTCTCTCAGCCCGCACCACACGGAGGCAATGAAGTTACATTTCCTTGGGGGTAAACTGGAGCCAGAGAGGAGGGACAAAATGTCCTGGTATAGGTGAAAGGCAGAGACTAATAGGCAAGAAAGAGGGCCTAGACCTCAGCACTACCTTGTTCCTATGCAAGACTTAAAAGGATTCCTTACAGGATAAAGCTGCAAATCCAGACACTCACCTTGCTGAGGTGATGACTACAAGTAGCACCACCTTATGGCTGAGCGTAGAGAGAGGGATGTCTCGAATGGGTTCTAACGGCAGGTTTTGAAGTGCAGATAGAACCAGATTCAAATCTCACAGAGCCACAGGGGAGCAAACAAGGGCAACCACATGGGGGACTTTCTGTACAAAAAGGTCTTAAATCAGGTAATGAAAGGCCAACAGTCTCTGAAACAAGATAGCAAGGGCAAAAACTGGATACTTGATAGTGATATCAATGCAGAGCCAAAGAGATGTCCCTTGAAGTCAATGCAGGTCAAATGGTTTTTAGATGCTAGTTCTTAAACCAAAGTGTCCTCCACATGAGTATTGACAGTGACCCATACACGAGATGAGACAAGAAATGTCCAACAGACTGTCACAGATGAAGCTTAACGCTACAACCATTTGCTTCAACACTGTGTAATCAAAGGATCAACCGCAGCAGTGGTAACAACTCTTAAGGGACTTAGCCCAATCAGCCAAAGTTTAGAAAAGCAGAGTCCCAGCCAAGATGGGATGAAGAGTAGGACCTGCTCTTTAAAAGCTCTAAAAATGTCTTTCAACTGTTTATCTCTTTGATCCTTGAAATATATAACCAGCACAGTGGGGTGAGACCACTTTCTTTGATCCTTGAAATATATAACCAGCACAGTGGGGTGAGACCACTTTCTTTGATCCTTGAAATATATACCAGCACAGTGGGGTGAGACCACTTTCTTTGAAATATATACCAGCACAGTGGGGTGAAACCACTTTCTTTATCAAATCCTTATCAAAAAGAGTACAAGGTTAGTAAGCATTTGGGGGAAAACTAATCATCTTGTTTCCAAACTCTATAGAGGAACACTCGGAACAGTGGGTACAAAGGACAAGTCTTTGGGGCTCTAAAAGACTTGTGCTGGATTGCAGAACTAGCATCTAAGAAGCATTTGACCTGCATTCAAGGGACATCTCCTTGGCTCTACCCTTGATATCACTATCAAGGATCCAGTTTTTGCCCTTGCCGTCTTGTTTTAGAGACTGTTGGCCTTTCATTACCTGATTTAAGACCTTTTGTACAGAAAATCCCTCTAGTTCAGTGATGTCATTTCCAGGGGGCCACACAACAGCAGCTAATTTTCATGTGCCTTGCAGTAAGTCAGGCAGCCCATGAATGGGCTGTTACGTACCCCAGCGCCTAACCATTTAGATTTGCATATATTTTTTACAGCAATGCATACTAAAAAGAGAAAATCAAAGTAAAATAAGCCCCGTTGGTAATGTCAGTGACAGGAATAACTACTCCGAGAATTAGTGTCACTGGCCCGCAATACTAAGCCCAAAAATTGGTGTCAGTGGATGCAGTACTAACCCCTGCATTGATGTCAGTGGACACAATAGCAACCTACAGTAATAATCCACAACATTGGAGCCAGTGCCTACAGTAAAAACCTCCAGCATGCTTCAGTCACAATAACAACCCCCAGCATTGGTGGCAGTGACTGTAATAATAACCCCCAGCACTAGTCTCAGTGACCATAATAATAACTCCCAAGTAAAGTGAGTGAACGCAATTATAACCCCCCAGGGGTGTGGAAATTTTTGAAAAAACTACTTGTCCAAGGACTAAAGCGGGGGCCGAATCTACTTGTCCCTCATGACAATCTACTTGTCCTGATACAAAAAAAATGCCGCCAGGTGACCGCGTTGACCAACGAGCGCTTGCAATTCGCTGAAAGGTAAATATAGTGGGAGGGAGATTTGTGTGGGTAATTCCATTTTCCCAAATTACTTGGAAAAGTGAATTTACCCTTTAGGCCCCACACTGAGCGACTTACCTTTAGCGGCGGATCCGCATGGCCGGGGTAGCGCGACTGTTCGGGGCGACGTCCAGCGATGGTAGCGCGACCTTGACCGTCGGACTCCATTAAAAAAAATTGCAAAAATCGCTCAAAATCCGCCGAAAAAAGGTTTCCTGCTGGAGCGACATGGAGCTAAGACAGCTCCATTGAATAGCATTGGCCGTCGATCGATATCGCGCGGCAAAAATCGCACGATAAATCGCATAGTGCGAATGGGGCCTTAGGGTTGGTGCAGACTTGGGGATTCCCGGGATGTGCGATCGTGTGCAGTTGTATACAGCGGTTGCATCCGCATGTATGGGGTTACATCTGCGTGGCAATCGCTGAAAAAAAGGTAGATGTACCTATTTTAACGACATGCACCGCGCAGTGTTTTCAACCGTGATCGTGTAGGATCACCCGGGGGGTATTGCAGCAGGAAAACGCGCCATCTGCCTGGCACGATCGATTATTTTTACTTTATCGCCTATTGATTTTTTTACATTTTTATTTAGTTAAATTTTAAATTATTATTTTTAACTTTAAAACTTAACTGTATTGCTATCACACAGGGGATAACAATCCCCTGTATAGAAGCATTTGGAGGTGACAGGTACTCTTTAATGACCCTTTCACCTCCAACACAGGAGTTCTAGCACAGGCTGTGCTAGAACTCCTGTGACAGGAACCAGCAGCGGCCGTCGGGACAGAGGCTAAGGGAGGTGACAGAGCCTGTAACAGCTCCACGCCCCCCTCTCCGTCATGGCTCCACGCCCTCCGCTCCGTCCCCAGTTCTCAGTGCTCCGTCCCCGCTCTCTCTCTGCTCCGGCCGCGCCCCCCTGCTCTCTCGATGCTCCACGCCCCCCGCTCTCTGAGCTGATTTAAGAGAAGAAAACCAGCCCTGCTACTTGTCCGTAGCAGGGCTAAAACAGTGCAAAAACCACTTGCCCGGAGCCCGGAACTACATGTCCCGGGCGTCAGGCGATACAAATTCCACACCCCTGCCCCCAAATTGGTGGTTAGCAGCAGTGCTATTTAAGCCCCCTTCATTGGTGTGTCAATGCTCTTAACCTGCTTCCTGCATTGAAGGCCAGTGACTGTTATTTAAAAAAACATTCCCTGCATAGGTGGTCAGGGCCAGTGTTCGTTGGCCGCTCCCCCGCCCAACTGACTTGCTACCAGAGGGGGTCTGGAAAGCACCATTTACTGTGCTTGGAGGTCACTTCCAGGCTAGCCCTGCGATTAGCAGCCCAGCAGGTCCTGATGCAGCACTCCAGACGGAGGACAACCACGCGAGCTGGCTGCAAATCGAAAAGACCAGCTCTAGGCAGTGATAAGCCTGAAGAAAAAAAAAATGTGCTAGTAAAATAGATTAGTCTTTTACACAGCAGAGCTGAAGAAAAGGTGTCCATCCTCCTAAGAATCTAACAATAAAACTGAGGCATGCTGGTAGTATGTGGGGTTCTCCTCGACTGGCCTACAGTTTGTTTGTTCTGTTTGCCAGTGTTCTCCTGTTGGTGGCGTCAAAAGCCAGAAGGTGAAAGACTTACTGTGTCCCTCTATGGAGGGGAAAGAAATGTATTTCAACTAGATTTTAGTTTTAACCCCCTTAAACCCCAAATCCTAATCGCTCTAACACTACATAAACTCTGAAACCCCACATTCACCCTAACAGATAATCCCTGATACAAGGCAGTTTCAGCGTTTTTTATTTTGTACACTGTTTTTATATATAAAATGTAACAGTCCTTTACCTTAGTCGCTGGTTTGCCGTGCTAATTCATGTTTTTGTGATTAACCATAAAAGTTTTAAAGAAAAATCCTAATTCTCAAACAGCATGTACTAGAAGGGAGCTCCTTTTCTTTCCCCAAACTAAATGTAAACCTTACTTTGTATTACCCTCCCCTGGCAATAGTTCAATGTGCGCTTACATGAATCCTTTTCTACCTCCCAACCTTGTTTAATCTTCTCCAATTACAGGCCTGGGACTGTGTGTGACCTGCAATCAGAACCTTAAAGGCTCAGCACTTCAGTCTCATCCCTGAATTACATGATATAGCAATGTATGACGCTCTGTTGCCTGTGTCTAATCCGTCTCGCTAAGAGATTGAGACAGTTCAAAAGGTGACAATGACACTGTGGATTAGGCATGGCTGGCTTCTTACCGTCTTCTTTGACCACAGAAGCTGGAAAAAATACAGAAAGAAAGATGTGAAATACTATATTGACAGAAACACAAGCAAATAAAAGTATATAGGTTTATAAATATACATTCATATGTCTGACTTTCCAGTCAGGCTATGGAGTTATACACATACAATATACACAGTGCATTCAGAAAGCATTCAGACCCCCTTCACTTTTTTTTTTCAATTTCGTTATGTTGCAGCCTAATACTACTGTTGTTTAAATTCTTTTTTCTCATTAATCTACACTCAGTATTCCAGAATGACAAAGTGAAAACAGAATTTTAGAAATGTCTGAAATTTCTTAAAAAGAAAAGAAACTGAAATATCACATGTACTTAAGTATTCAGACCCTTTACAGAGTACTCTGTTGAAGTGCCTTTGGCACAGTTACAGCCTGAAGTCTTTTTGGGAATGACATGACAAGCTTTACACACCTGGATTGGCGGGATTTTCTGCCATTCTTTTTTGCAAATCCTCTCAAGCTCAGTCAGGTTGAATGGGGACCGTCGGTGGACAGCCATTTTCAGGTTTCTCTGATGTTCAATAGGGTTCAAGACAGGGCTATGGCTGGGCCACTCTAGGACATTCACAGAGTTGTCCCTAAGCTACTCCTGTGTTGTCTTAGCTGTGTGTTTAGGATCATTGTCATGTTGGAAGGTAAACCTTTGGCCAAGTCTGAGGTCCGGAGTGCTGTAGAACAGGTTTTCATTGAGGATATCTCTGTACTTTGCTCCATTCAGCTTTCCCTCAACACTGACCAGTCTCCCAGTCCCTGCTGCTGAAAAACACCCCCACAGCATGATGCTGCCACCACCATGCTTCACTTTTGGGATGGTATTGAGCAGATGATGAGCGGTGACTGGTTTCCTCCAGACATAACGTTTAGAATTGAGGCCAAACAGTTCAATCTTAGTTTCATCAGACCAGAGAATCTTATTCCTCACAGTCTGAGAGTCCTTTAGGTGCTTTTTTGCAAACTCCATCTAGCCGCCACTCTGCCCTAAAGGCCAGATCGGGGGAGGGCTGCAAAGATGGTTGTCCTTCTGGAACTTTGTCCCATCTCCACACAGGATCTCTGGAGCTCAGTCAGTGACCATTGGGTTCTTGGTCACCTCTCTTACTCAGTTTGACCGGGCGACCAGCTCTTGGAAGAGTCCTGATTGTGCCAAACATCTTCTACTTGAGAATTATGGAGGACACTGTGCTCCTTGGAAACTTCAGTGCAGCAGACATTTTTGTGTAGCCTTCCCCAGATCTGTGCCCTGCAATAATCCTGTCTCTGAGCTCTGCAGACAGTTCCTTTGTTGGCTTTTGCTCTGATACAGTATCCATTGTCAGCTGTGAGGCCTTCTATAGAAAGGTGTGTGCCTTTCCAAATCATGTCCAGTCAATTTAATTTACCACAGGTGGACTCCAAATCAAGGTTTAGAAACATCTCAGCAACGAGAAATGGGAGGCAGCTGAGCTAAATTTCAAGTGTTGTTGCAAGGGTCGGAATACTTATGCCAATCTGATATTTCCGTTTTTCCTTTTTCATACATTTGCAAACATTTCTAAAATTCTGTTTTCACTTTCATTAGGGGGTACAGAGTGTAGATTAATGAGAAAGAAATAAAGAAAGCTCTATCTGGCCCCCAAAAAATGGTATAAAATTCATTTCAGTACAGCGTTGCGTGACGGAATAAATGTCAGTCAAAGTACCGCAGCGCTGAACACTGAAAAATGGCCTGGCCAGGTAGGGGATCTAAACACCTGGTCTTCAAGCAGTTAAACAACCGTTGTACCAGGCTGCAGCATAACAAAATGTAAAAAAAGTGGAGGGGGGGTCTGAATACTTTCCGAATGCAATATATATATTTTTAATCACACACACACACACACACACACACACACACACACACACACACACACACACCTGGAAAATGCAGAGCTCAGTGATTAAGTACCATAACAGGCTATCTTGTTAGTGGATCAAAAGATGAAGTTACCCTAAGGGCCGCTTCCTCTTCATTAGGGATCCGACATGTCAGCAATAAGGTAACTTAAACACACTGAGGGGAATTTATCAAAACTGGAACAGACAAAATCTGGAGCAGTTGCCCAGGTCAACCAATCAGCTTCTCTCTTCAGTTTGTTCCATTAAGATTTGAAAATGAAACAGAGAAGCTGGTTGGTTGTCATGCACAGCTGCTTCAGATTTTGTCTGCTCCTTTTTTGAAAAAATCCCTTCACTAAGAATGTACCTTGGGTACTTAGAAAAGCAGCTGCTAAGAGCAGAAGTTTAAATAGCTGGAGGTGACCGAGTCACTATAGGCAGCAACAAGGAAAAACTGAGGCAATAACCGTGTGACCCTTGCAATGCCATGACAGGAGAACTCCCTCACTCTAGGCAGGAATAGGGAGTGTAGAGCACACACGCCACACAGGAGTTAGATATGCAGCATTTAAAACTCCATTACAGCAACTATTTTTGCTGAGATTAAGGAACAGAAAAACATAATAGTGAAGCCCAATAGTATGATGTGCTAATGAAATAAAGCACAAAGTCCCTTTTTCTTACCCTGAGTGGTGAACCTGGAGAGCACTCTGAGGTTAACGAGCACAATACTGAGAAACCAGAAAGCGCCACAAGGAGAGCCTAGTCCCTGAAAGTTACATTCCATGTGATGTTTACCCTGTCCGTGGCCTTACTCACAGAGAGTCTTCAAAGACTGGTGCACAGTGGAGGCTGTGACACGCCTCTGGACCTGTAAAACCCTCTGCGGTTTACAAAGCAGTACAATAGGTGCCTGGGGAGTGCCACAAGCAGAGCCCAGTGCCTGAAGGTCACATTACAGGCTGGCCCTGCAATTTTTGGTCCGGTGGGGTCAGTGTACAGCTTCCAAGGCAGTGCTGAGGATTAGCTGATGCAGATGGCTGTAGAACAGCAGCATAGCGATGAATCTTAACGGAAAAAGATCTTAGTTAAAAAGGAAAAGAAATGTCTAGTAAAAATGGGAAAACTTTTCTCCTCCTAGGGTTATAACTTATTGGCTAATGGCCTTTTGTTTTGCCAATGTCCAATTCCCCTAAGGCCTGGTTCACACCTAGGACGTTTTGAGCGTGTTGGAAAAGCGCCTTTAAATGCCCAAACACAAGAAATCCCATGATTTGCAATGGTCCTGGTTCACACCTGAGCAGAAAAACGCCAGCAGGAAAAAGCCAAACACCCGAAAAAAGGTACGTGAGCTTCTCTGGGCAGTTAAAAGCGTGTCTTTGCACCATAGACTTCAAAGAAAATGCCCACATTTTCGTGAGCGTTTTTGCGCGTTCTATTGCCCGCAATGTTTCATGAGCTGCCAGTCAAAACGCGCATTAAAATGTGCATAACTGCATGCTGTCACACGCGTACAAAACCGATGCCACCTATGTGTGAACCAGGCCTAAGAGGTAGCAGTATAGCCCACTTATCTCTGATTTACATCAGATTCTGTGTCCCTTAAGGAATGATAAATAAAACATTTAGTCTTGTCCAATAAGGGAAAAAGGAAGGTGGAAAGTTCAGAAAAGTCACAGCCATCAGTCCACAATCATCCTTCATTTCGGTGTGTGCACTATTTTAAGTGTAAATGGCTGCCAGGGCAGTGTTATCTAGCAAATCAATATTTGCACCGCTCTATTAAACAAGTCTGATGGTGGTATATAATAAAATCATATGTTTTGACAGTAGATAAAACTACCTCTTTGCAGCAGATCCTTTTGCTCGTGGTACAATCGGGTCACACGCTCCATTAGTTCCCATTTTTCACAGCAGCCCTTGTAATTCACAAAGTTTCTAGCCAAAATCTCCTTCAGTTGACGCACAGACAAGGATTCTACGTCATCTGGATTGCCGATATCAGAAAGTGAGGCCCTTCTTCCTGGCACCAGTATCTCTTCTGAATCTATGGACTAAGAAACAATGAAAAAAATATTTTAGTTCTGAATAAATTTCTCCCTGCACTAAACAATTAGGATTCTTACTACCTCTCTACGTCTCTTGTATCAAGATCATTTTTATTTTTTTTATTCCAAAGCTGCTTCTGGGCTCATGGCCACTAAGTCAAACACTTGCCAAGCACTGCTATCTGAATAAAAATGATTCAGCTTCAAGCCAAAATGATGACTTGGAAGGTGGGTCTTCAAGACTGTTTTTGGCTTTCTGTGCCCAAAGATAAGAAAATTCTGCAGACAGATACTAGACCAGCAAAAATATACTAAGAGCAAGTTCACAGGTTATACTTTCAGCGTGGTTTTACACATCATAATGATTTTAATATTCAGCTCCTTATGAGGTTTGGGCCATTCTATTCAATAGCAGTGTTTTAATCTATTCATTATCATCACGTGCAATTTTAAACATCTTGCAAGTGCATTTTTGCTGCATTTGGGGCGTGGGGGGAGGGAACCTGTCATTACCATGAACCAAATCGCATGGAACATTCATGCACGCACAACATGTAAAAATAGCAGTACACGTGCATTTTAAAGTCAACCTGTAGAGTAGACTAAGCAACAGGTTCACTTGATCACAGGCTCAACACGTAGTCCATATCCTATCTACACTCGCACACCATCCAAACCATTGTTGCAGCCTTCAAGTATTCCAGTGTACATTTTTTACTTTTATAAAAGAAAAAAAAAAAAAAAAAAACTTGCTTAGGATTATGCATACCTCCCAGACCCTACAACATTCAGTCCTGGTAATTGGCTGAACTGCAGGAAGAGGGGCGTCTGAGCTTCCCAAAGCCAGCAGCAATCGGGCTTACGCACACCATCACCACACAGGGCACAGTCGCATCTCAGTCAAAAAGGAACCCAACAAGGATTTTCAGGATCCACCCTGGTTGGAAACTGGAGCCAGAGCCAGCCATGCCCACCCCCTCTCTGGCCTGTAGCTCCAGCCAGTGCTGGAGGAGCGGAGAGGAAAAGGGGGGCAATCCCTACAGGGACAATGACTGGAAGTCACTGCTCTCCACTTGGAGCAGAGAGCTGATTGATAAGCAGTCAGATGATCAACCAGCTCTTGGTCTTAAAACCAGGATAGGACAGCTGCAGTGTTCCAAGATGACATATTAGAGAGAGTATGTTTTACTGTCCCTGAAGTTATATCTAAAACAGTAGCATTTTCATTATATACTTTGTTGCTACATATGTAGGATATCCTCCTACACAAACTATGTTTGTGAAAAGGAAAACAGACTTCACACAAAAAATGGAAGTATGAAGCACTTTAGCAACATTGGAAATACCAGTTCTTGGAGGGGCCTATACTGTCAAGCAACAACTTCCTATTTAAACATCCTCTTACAAAAACATGCAATGTTTTAAAAAAATATGCACGTGATATGTGCTTTCTAAAAAAACTCAGCTGTCCTTCACAAAAAAAAACAAGTATTCTACCACCTAACATAGTATAATCTGCCAATTGAGAGATAAATAATCCATTCCCTAATACATGCATTTTGATCAAATTATTTGTAGAAATCATATACAGTATCAAGCTTTCAATATCTATATTTATGGTCTTAAAACAACAAAAAGGCATCACAGAAATAGGGGATACTGACAACACATACGTGCCTGTGAAGGGGCACTTCAGATAACGTAAACCAATTTTTAAACTCTTGTAAAAGTATCACCATGTCATGTGGTCAGGATTTCCTTCATGTGAAACAGTTTTATTACTGCCTGATGCCAGGATGCAGATTAAAGAAGTACATGGAAAGTAAAACATACTCTCCCTAATATTTAGAGACTGGCATGGGAGACTACAACTGTTCCACTCTGGCTCTAAGACCGAGAGCTGACCAATCACCCCACAGCAGCAACTGTCATTTACCCCTGCAGAGATTGCCCCCTTCCTCTCTCTGCTTTTGACTGGAGCCAGAGGCCAGCGAGGGGGTGGTTCTGACTGGCTTTGACTCGTCGAATAGGCACCCGGGGTGGATCCTGACTATATTATGGTGCTCCTTTCTAACGGAGGTGTGGCTTTGCTCTGTCAGTGCATGTAAACCCGCTATCTGCTGGCTTTGGGTCATAGAGGTGCATTAGTAAGAAAGGATGGCTTTACTTCTCTTAATGTGAACCTGCACTTGGCCCATGCAAGAATCAAAGCATCAGGCTCAATTAAAAAAGGGATGTCAGAATCTCAGAGGCTGCCATTGTTGAACCCTTTTGAGAATGCTAGTTCCCAGTTGTCATGCTGAAGTTTTGCCTTTAGTGCTGCCTTGCTGACATGAAACAGGTATAGAGAAGGCCTTCCGATACTTATTTACAGCATGCTGTTCTGGGTCTGTGACTCAAAAGCTGATGAAATCACTTACAATGGATTAGGCTTCCTGATTTTTAAATATTTTAGTTTCCTGAGGAATCAGCTGGTCTCATGAGCACTGGTCCTGATATCGTGCTTTAGGGTGGCACCTTTTTTTAAAGTTCTTGGGCAAAACATTTAAATACTTTGCTGGACAATCTATATTTTGTAAAGCACTAGAAGAACTATAAAATGCTTACATTAAAAAGGGTGTTGGAAAGAATTAGACACCCTGAAACCAAGTAACTCAAAAAATGAATATGACTTGTCCAACAGGAATAACATATCCCTGACTGATCTCATTTCTAAAGACGAGGTGGGTTTCATCCTGGGAAGACAGGCCGGGGGATAATGACCGATGGATTTCCCTTTTCCACATAGCCTTTAAGCCCCAAATTTCGTCAATGTTGTTATCTCTATATAAAAGGCAAAGCCTTTGACTTCCTGGGATGGGACTACCTTAGGTTTGTCTTGCGTCAATGGGGATTTGGAACTTCTTTTTTTACAATGGATTGCTGTTCTTCGACATCTACAGCTTTTGTCCAGTACCAGGAATTTAGGTCCGATGTATTTTCTATTTTGCGAGGCACTAGGCAAGGGTGTCCTTTATTTCCCCTTCTCTTCGCCTAGGCTATAGAGCCACTGGCACAGGCAATTAGGGTTGATACTGATATCAAGGTTCTTGAGGTAGCGGGGTATCATCACAAAATAAACCCGTTTGCTGACTATGCGCTCTTGTCCCTGTGGGACCTTTTGATCTCCCTGCCGAATCTCACACCTTTGTTACAGCGTTTTGGTGTGTGA